CTCATTAATTTAGATTCTTCAAAGAGTGAAGAATAATATAATATAATAATAATATATTTATATATTATTTTGGATATTTGGATTTTTTTGGCCTCAGCACTTTTGTTCACTGATTTAGAATATGTACCCATGACTTTCTATAAGTACTGTAGCTAAAGGTGACTTTGTAGCGGTTCTTTGTTATTGCTGGAAAGATGCCTTATTTTTCTCGCCATGTCCTAGTTCAGAAATCCCTTAATGTGTCTCCCTCCTGAATAAAAGTGGCGATATGTGCTTTAACAAGCTGTTCTTAGTACTTTCAGTAAATTAGCCAAATAGCTTCTGTGTGAACATGAAGTCCTGGCAAGAAAAAAGTACAACCCATTTTATGCTCTAAACTTTTATGTATTAGGACATAAAAAACTTTAAAAAGTCACTCCAATGTCTCTGAAAATGGTTGAAATATAACCTGAGAGATTTCCTCTCATTATCCAAGGCTGGGCAATGAGGCTTAAAAATTAAGTTTGATTTTATATCAGATCCAATTCCTGATTTTAATTGATTTGTTGTCACTTTCTTTTCTAAAAAATAAATTACCATATTTTATGATTAATTGTAAATGACAATAAACATATTTCCACAGGGTGGCTTTTATTACAGTCATCCCTCCTGTGAGGTGCACAAATATTAGGGACAGACTCTGAGAATTTTTAATTACAAAAATATTGTCAAAATATTAGAAGAATATCTTAAATTTATGAGAAAAAGCTTTTAGACATAGCAAGATCTGACATGGCCACCTCAGTTGGTGTGATTTCATTTGTGTGATTGCTGTATGAGAGGACTTGTTCAGGCTTATTTGATAAGACGCCCCCTAGTGGCAACCTGTACCTGCTTTACTTTACTGTGGTTTATCATGTTACCTCACATCAAACAGTTTAGTGTTTGCAGGCTTGTTCAGCTCTGAACAAGCCTCATCTTACACAAGATTAACTGATTCACATTTGCAAAGGAATCAGGAAGGAGATGGAGTCAATCATCACACATTCAGGTTCGTTCTTGCAGAAGGAATAACCATACAGTGTGTGACGTTTCTGCAAAGTTTAAACGTGAACTATCATAATTCCTTGATCACAATAGGATAGATCTATGGGCTACACAATTTTTTAAAACAAAATCAATGCTAGATAATGAGATATTAATCTACCTTTTGGAGCTCCTGTCAGGATTAGCTGTTTTAAGCTGTTTCAGCTACTGTGGCCAAGACCCCCAACTCAACGTTTACGCTCGCACATGGCTGCACAATGGCTGCAAACAGAGGCACAGTCGTACATCTCTGAACAGCAAAAGTGGAGCCTCCTGCGCAACCAATGAGAATGCAACAAGTTGTTTCTGAATGGCAAGTCAACCATACCAAATACTTGACTTTTCCAGCAGCCATTGTACAATGCATACAAAAGTAAAACCAGCTGACCAAACATGTTGGAGCTGAGTTTGGGTTGCTAGGTAACAGGCAGTGTCTCTTAATTTGGCTCATTGTCCATCAAAAAACATTAACTTATTGCCCAAAAAACAGCTGGATGTTGTTGTTTAAACTACTTGGGCTGTTTTAGAAGTTGTGGAAACCCAAACTGAGTTACAAAAATGTGCAAAATATTAATTTTGCATAATTCATCCCCATTAATGTGTTTCAGCAGACCAAAGGTGATGCTTTGTTTGCTTCCACTAAACTTTCACAATGCTGATAATGTGTCATTGTATTGGGTTTGGTTTCTGGTTTCCTTTTAGAAAGAAAGTCAAGCTCTAAATTAATTTTGTAATTGTTGTAATTTTTGAACTGCTAACGTGCCAATTCCACTGATATAGTAAATCCATGGTTAAATCTACTTGGGCCTCCTCATTTGTCTTGTCGGACTCCCAGCTCACCTCTTGACCTTCAACCAGCCCTATAATCAAACTCTCTATGTTCAGTCTCCATATGATGTGACCTTTGACCTTTGGGGCTCAGACCTCTGCTGCTGCTTGAGCCTGTTAAATTATCCAACCTCTTCTCCCTTTAATTCGTCTTCATTGCCAAAGACAGACTTGATCCAGACATAAATCCCAGTAGAACGTCAGGGATACCCAATTAAAACTGTATTATTTTCCTGTTTCAAAAGGAAAAAATCCAATCCAGTTTACATTCTCTCCATTATTTAACACACGAAGCTGTAAAATATGAATGCATTGTCCAAGCTGTTAACATTACATGTGGGCGGATCGGTCCAAAATATTAATAATATCAATATTAAGTCAGTATCAGTATCAGTACTAACGTGATAAGATTGATATCTTAGTTTCAGATACCTTTATGAAATGTTATTTTATTATTGTAAACAAAAATGATTTTACTGTGATCTGCTCTCCGACAATAATTAACTAGAAAACAATGCAGACAAAAGTTTTTATGTTGTTTCTGTTTACTGTATAAATAAAAAGTGTTTTGTTGACATTTGCAAACTTTATTTAAATTCTGTCCAAGGTTTTAAAAAAATTATTCAAAAGATAAAAAACAACAATGCCTACAGATGAGAAGTTTGTTGATATATCATAATTAAATAACAGCTGTTGCTAATGCATATCAAAAACACAAATCTTACTAATTATTTTTGACTATTTTCTATTAGTGCACTTGAAATAAGAAAAAAAAACTAACTTACAATAAACTTCTCACCAAGATAAATGTATTTACAAGCAAATCATTTCTTAATATTAATGAAAATAGTATTTTATGTGGGAGACGATTTTACTATCCGAATTTAAATTCACATTTAAAGCACTTTTGTACTTCCATTTAAGCATAAAACAGCTCAAGTGATTAAAAAACAGATGTTTTTTGTAAATAAATTCATATTTTTGCGTGTCTGAAAAATGACCTGTGTCAAAAACCTCTGGAGTTTAACATCACAAATTAGCAGGCAGTGCCCGTTACCAAGCAACCCCACCAGAGTTCTGCCCGTTACCAAGCAACCCCACCAGAGTTCTGCTTGTTACCTAGCAACCCCACCAGAGTTCTGCTTGTTACCAAGCAACCCCACCAGAGTTCTGCTTGTTACCTAGCAACCCCACCAGAGTTCTGTCCGTTACCAAGCAACCCCACCAGAGTTCTGCTTGTTACCTAGCAACCCCACCAGAGTTCTGCCCGTTACCAAGCAACCCCACCAGAGTTCTGCCCGTTACCAAGCAACCCCACCAGAGTTCTGCTGTTACCTGGCAACCAAAGTGAAACTTCAACACATTTGGTCAGCTTGTTTAATTTGCAATCCAGAAACCACTTGCTGCATTCTCGTTGTTTGCGCAGGAGTTTCCACTTATGCTTCTCTAAGATGTACGGTTGTATAATTGCATCTATTTTCATGTGTGACTGTAAGCCTTGAGTTGGAAGACGTGGCCAGCAGCAGCTTATTTGAATTTAAAATGTCAAAAGCTCTAAAACAGCTAAGACCTCATTATATAAGAATGGTTTTGTGCAAAAAGTGTTTTGTATAGACCATAAACCATAAATAAGCTGTTCACGGAAGCAGTGCAGGTCACCTTTAATGACATCAAGTTTTCTTTATCTGAGAAAGACAGAACCTTTTTCTATAAATTGTTCAGCAGTGTTAGCCCATGCTGAAATGTGTTGCAGGTTTAGAGAAGCCAGGATTCGTACAGAGCTCTTATTTCCAATTAAACTCCCTCTAAATGGCTTTGATGACACATGAGCATAACTATGGAGAAATGTCTGGTTCATTCAGGAAAATTCTGCTGGGGTTTTTTTTCCTGTCAGAAATTTATCCCGGCTCATCCATGGTGAAAATCGCTCAGATTGGGCGATAAACGTCTCCGTCCCTCAGAGCTGAATGTGATGTCAGGAAAGTCAGAGTGTCTGAGGGGCCAGGTGGGGGCTGGAGGTAATTTCATGAATGAAAGGGCAGAATTGTTCCTGTTTCAACTGGTGCTGAGCTCCAGACAAACCCCGCCTGCCCTTTAATTAGAGCTATGAACCCAGAGTGGCGCAGACTGGGAGGAGGGGACTGGCCGGACTGGTCGTCTGTGACGATGATGATGCTTCTGTTGATTTATTTATTTTGGATATTTGTCCATAATGTTAAAGGTTCATTAAGATTTATTGAACTTCGGCCTCTCACAATAACACATTTTGCTGGATGATAAATTGATAAATTACTGCGATAAAGGATAATGTTGTTGTTTTTCAAGTATGACAGTGGTAATTGGAATAATAAGGCAAGAACACATTGTCAGAGATAAAGACCTTTCTGCTTGATTTAACATTAATATATTGTGTTTGGTTGATCTGTTGATTATTTTTAGATGTGTTTTAAACTGATTGATAATTGGACAGAGAAATGCATTTGATGTTAGATGTGTTTTATAGAATTAGAAATTGCCACTTCAGGATTTCTGGGTAAAACAAACATATAGAGAAAAGATTTTCTCCATATTAAATGCAAAATGTTTATATTTTGTACAGTTTTGGCTTAATTACTGCCCTGAGTAAGTTGTTCTTTCAGCAAATGTCCTCTTTTATATCTATGACGATTAATCAGTTAGTAAATTAGTTGAAGATTACTTCAATAATCGATTAATCACGATTAATAATTTCAGCCCTACAACGGTTGGCAGAATTGATCTTCCTCATGTTGACTGGTGGGCAGCAACAGTTACTTCTCCAAGGAGTTTCCTCACAATGATCAGTTAATTATTGGACATCGTTGCTGTTAATTGATTCATTGTGATTAATCAGATTAATCCTTTCAGCCCTCATTCAAATATTCCATAAAAACTGCACCATTACAAAGTTGCTTAACTACAATTTGCTTTAAATGTTTTCAGAATAAATGGAAATGCTTGCTCACACTCACATTGATATGTTTTTATCATTTAGCCAGTTTATTTTTCTCCAAAGTCCTTTGCACTGTATAAACAAACTAATTTTTGTTGTTGTTGTTCCTCTTATTCCTGGTCTTGACTTCCTCCACCAGATGCCCTCTCGCTGCAGGAATGCGCTGAACATCGTGGTCACCACCCTGTTTGCTGCGGTGGTTCTGTTCACCATCCTACTGGCCTACGTCACAGGTTGTCTTCTCACCCACTCATATAACCACTCACCGTGATTATATTTAAAACATAATCACATTAATTTGAATTATTAAAATAAATTATCTTAATGAAAACATGAAAATTAAAAAAAAACATGTTTTGGTGCTAGGATGGAGTGTTTTTTCGTCCATATTGGAATTAGTGTATTCTGGAAAACTGCATTAGCAACACTTTCTCATCACATCAGATGTGATCACCAACCGGATGTTGCTACTGGCGGAAATGACAAAGAAGACGATAGGAAGTTGGTAGGAGGATGATAGCGCACCATTTTTTAAAATGTCTTATTTTGTGAAGATGTACCCAAAAGCATTTATTTTTTAATGGAAATAGGAAAACTGGGTTGTTGTTTTTTGTTTTGTTTTTTTACTTTAGCGGCATATCAACAAAGTTTTGTACACACTTTTAATGAAAAAGACAGCAAAACTTAGAGTAGGAATGATGAACCTGTTTCTCCATATTGGAATTAGGGGTGGCCCCAAATGAAAATCTGCCTTGGGCCCCAAAAAGTCTTTGTTCGGCCCTGCTGGCTGTAAAGTGTCCACGAGGAGAAACTGACGCTCATGTTTGGTTTCTGCAGGTTACCAGTTCATCCACACCGAGCAGCACCACCTCTCCTTCGGCCTCTACGGCGCCTTCCTCTCCCTCCACCTCTTCCTCCAGAGCCTCTTCGCCTTCCTGGAGCACCGGCGGATGCGGACCCCGTCCCGGCCTCGGCACCTGCGCCGCTCCGTCGCCCTCTGCATCGCGGCCTATCAGGAAGACCCGGACTACCTGAGGAAATGCCTGCGCAGCGTCCGGCGGATCTCCTTCCCGGGCCTGAAGGTGGTGCTGGTGGTGGACGGGAATCGGCCCGAGGACCGATACATGATGGACATTTTCCAGGAGGTGATGGGCGGAGCGGAGCAGGCCGGCAGCATGGTGTGGAAGGGGAACTTTCACAGCGACGGCGGGGAAGGAGGAGGCGTTGCAGCAGGGAGGAGGAGCGCGGTGCACATGGAGGAAGCGAACCGGGTGGCCCGGCTGGTTAAAGGCCGCCGGTACTCCTGCGTCATGCAGGAGTGGGGCGGGAAACGGGAGGTGATGTACACCGCCTTCAAAGCTCTGGGCGACAGCGTGGATTATGTTCAGGTGGGAAAAACTCCTTCAAAACCCCAACAGGTGGTTAAAATGTCTCTTTTCCTATGAAAAAGGATATATATGACGATATATCGTTCCAGACATTATTACGATTAAATTATTGGCAAAATAATGCAAGAACACATTCATAAATATAAACCTTAAATTCTAATGAACATTTAACACTGGAACTGGGAGACATTTTGAATATCCAAAATAAATCAATTATGAAGATTATTTAAGCAAAATTGACCCTCTAAACATGGACAGTTGAGACCAATTACCAAACTGAAGACAAATTTTGGTAGCAGAAAGAGAAATAACGTTAAATCATAAAAATGGAAAGTATTGACCTTGTCTTAATTTATCATGCGATTAAATGATTTATTGTTTATTGTGATGGGGCTATCTCCAACCACAAAATTAAAGGATTATTTTTTGGAAGTACGGGTTAGGTCCAATGTAGATAGAAAATAAAAAAGGGGAGTAAATTCCTGCCAAAAAATGCATAGGCTACATATTTTGGTTAATTTCAGAAATTTTCTAGAAAAAAATAAGAAAATTTCTGAGCTGCAAAGAAGTTGCAAGAAATAAAACTATAAAACTTTTTAAATTGATCTCAGAAATTTTCTACAAAGAATTCAAATTTTTAGATTAATCTCAAAAATTGGTAAAATTTTTTAATTTTTACCAGTTTCAAAAATCAAAAATTTGCAAGACAAAACGTTTTTTTTCTGGAAAAGTTTAAATTAATTTCTGAGATTATTCTCAAAATATTTTTCTAGGAAATTTTTGGGTTTTAAAAGTAGGAAATGCCCACAAAATGTCTACATTTACAAAGTCAAACATTTGCCAGTGGAAAAAAAAAATATTTTTAGGTTAATCTCATAAATTAGAGCTAAAAATATGTGGAAATTTCCAAACTTCAAAAGTAAAAAAAATTGCAAGAAATAAGATTAAATAATTTATCTAGAAAAGTTTTCAAAATTTCTGACTTTCAAAGGTTGTAAATGTTCTAGAACAAAATGTTGATCTTAATCTCAACATTTTCCAAGTTTGTTCTAGAAAACGTTTGAAATTAATCTAAAAATTTGAGATTTTTGGTGAAAATTTACCCCTTTTTTCTATCTGTTATCTACCTACCTACAACGGCCATAATCTTTGCTTTCATAGATTAGCAAATCATTATTTAATTCTTAAATCTCCATCAGTTTCCATATTTTCCAGATTTTAGAAAGTTTGAGAAAAGCGTTTCCCATGTTTTCACTCCTTTTTCATACTCTTAAAATCTGCTGTATGCAACTTTTAAGTCCAGTCGGTATTAGCGGTGGGTGATTTTAGACATTTTTGTGCTTCCGCTCCCAAAAACAGCCTAAACACTTAAAACCCTTCGTCTGCTGCGTGGCGCTCCGGGTCACAGGCCGACCTGCTGATGTGATCCGGCTCACGTCTCTGTCAGCAGTCCTTCATTTCTCTGCAGATTTTTACGCATAGTCAACAATCCGCGTTCTGCAGCAGCTGCATCCTGAATTTGACCTTCTGAATTATTCAACCCTTTGTCTTACTGTGCAGGTGTGCGACTCGGACACTGTTCTGGACCCGGCTTGTACTATAGAGATGCTGAAGGTTCTTGAGGAAGACCCGATGGTGGGGGGAGTCGGCGGGGACGTGCAGGTAGGGAAGCTGAGCTGAAAGTGGATCTGAAGGATCTTTGTGATCAGTTTTCTGCTCCCAGTCTGGAGGATTGAGAGCATTTTTATGTAACCTGTTTTTTTTTTTTTTTTTTTAGATATCTACTTTTTATCCTCCTACTTATTTAAATAATTGCTGGGTTTTGTTTTATTTTTGGTTTATCTTTGGAGAACAAATACATTTTATATTTTATACAGTATTCAAGCCCTAATTGAAATTAGAAAATAAACATTTTGCATTGCTTTAATGATAATTTTATGCGTCCACAAAAATACATCTAATATCAACTTGTGAAAAAATACATCTAATATCAACTTGTGAAAACATCAATACAGTGGAGGTCTGATATGTTGATTATTTTTTGGATAAACTGATTCATAATTTGATAAAATAGGATGTTATGAAAAATAAATTTATACCAGGAGAAGCTAGAAGGAGTAGCGGAGTTGTAGGAGAAGATTTTTAATCTTAAGTGCTCAGAGTTTGTATTTTTGGAGAGTTTGGGCTTAATTTCTGCTCTGACTGTGTTGTTCTTTGCTGAAAGAAAACTTGTTGTTTTCTACAAGACATTTCTCTGCACCATGTCGCCTCCAGATCCTCAACAAGTACGACTCGTGGATCTCGTTCCTGAGCAGCGTGCGCTACTGGATGGCCTTTAACATCGAGCGAGCCTGCCAGTCCTACTTCGGCTGCGTCCAGTGCATCAGCGGCCCGTTGGGGATGTACAGGAACTCCTTGCTGCAGCGCTTCCTGGAGCCCTGGTACCACCAAACCTTCCTGGGCTCCAAGTGCAGCTTTGGCGACGACCGCCACCTCACCAACCGGGTGCTCAGCTTCGGCTACAAGACTAAATACACGGCGCGGTCGAAGTGCCAGACGGAGACACCCACGCAGTATCTGCGTTGGCTCAACCAACAAACACGATGGAGCAAGTCTTACTTCCGTGAATGGCTCTACAACGCCCTCTGGTTCCACAAGCACAGTCTGTGGATGACCTACGAGTCGGTGGTCACAGGTTTCTTCCCCTTCTTCCTGGTGGCAACAGTGATCCACCTGTTCTACCGCGGCCGGCTCTGGAACATCCTGCTCTTCTTGCTGACGGTGCAGCTGGTCGGGATGGTCAAGGCCACCTACGCCTGCTTCCTGCGAGGAAGTCTGGTCATGATCTTCATGTCGCTCTACTCTCTGCTCTACATGTCCAGCTTGCTTCCTGCCAAAATGTTTGCCCTGCTCACCATCAACAAGGCGGGATGGGGAACGTCTGGCCGCAGGAAGATAGTGGTCAACCTCATTGGCGCTGTGCCGGTCACAGTTTGGGCGCTGGTGCTACTGGGAGGCGTGGCGTATACCGTCTACTGTGAAACCCAGGAGCCATTCAGCGAAATGGAGAAGGCCTTGTTGATAGCGGGGACGGTGCTGTACGCCTGCTACTGGCTCATCCTGCTGGTGCTGTACTTAGCCATTGTAGCTAAACGATGCAACAAGAGGGAAGAGCAGTATCACCTGCCGTACGCGGAGTCCTGAACCGCGGCGGCCGGATGGCTTCCAGGTTTCTCTGCAGTTGGACTCAACCAGGTGGAGCAAAGACCTGGGATCTTCAACACTGGTGCTACAAAGTCGAGAATCTGCAATCTGAGAGATGGATGGTGCTTTCCACTGTTCAGGTCTTAAAGCTGCATTGTGTGGCTTTTATTAAAAAAAAATGGATTAAAACTGTCATGAGACAAAAAATCTGTGAAAAGATAGATATGATGAACCAATCAGAGCCAGGAGGCGGGTCTTAGCGCTGTCAATCATCCTCATATACTGGCTGCTAAAAGGACTAAAGGCAGAAACAACTCAGATGACAGAAAAACCTTTTATCCACTGTTATCAATGGCTATGCTAACTAGCTTTAGCATTCACAACAAGATCTGCTGATGGGGAAAAACTGCAGTAGGGTTCAAGCAGGGAGTGGAAGGGGATGAGCAGCGCTGCACAAGATTGTGATTGACAGTGCTTAGTTCTGATTGGTTGTTTACTTCAGACAGAAGAAAAGTAGTCGCTCAGAGAGGAAGAGGAAGAGATCGATCTTTTTACAGATTACCTGTCTCGTAACAAACTGTCAGTTCTAACAAATATGTAAAAAAAAAAAATTTTTATAAACATTACATCTGCAGCTTTAACGTGTTCAGGCAGACATGCAGGTATTGAGAAGAAATTAGCGGCAGACCTGTGATTTTTTTATTCTTAATTTTTTTTAAAACCAGAAGTGAGAAAATCAGAGGAGGAAACATCAAAGTCCCTGATGAGCCTGAGGCAAAATTGAAAAGATTTTAAAATCCAGTCTGGTTCTGTACAGAGGTGGGTAATAACTGGTTACATTTACTTGAGTAACTTTTTGGGAATCAAATTACTTCTAGGACTATTTTAACTATGTTGTACTTTTAGCTTTTACTTGAGTAACTTTATAATTAAGTGTCTCTAATCGAATAACATTTCTGGATACTGTGAATAACTTCACTGAATGAAGAACAAACTTATTTTAATATGAAACTGTCAGAAGTTTCATACTGAAACAAACTGATTTGGATTTTTATTATTTTGTAATTATGTTATTTCAGAAAACTTGCTAAGCCTGGTGGTTGGGGCGATCCGGTCATCTGCCGTGTTTTGAGTTTAAAAATGTTTATAGATGACAGGAAGTTTGAAAATGTCAGTTTGTAATTTAGGTATTAGCAATACCTAAACACCAACTACAAAGTCTTAAAAAAGGCAGACATAAAAAAAATACTATTAAAATAAATATATTTTTTGCACTTTAGTTGTTTAATTCGAAATAAAGTGTCCAGAATGTTGGGATCTTTTATCCGTCACTTATTGTTGTTGGCATGTAGATCGGTGAAGACAGGAAGTGGTTAGAGAGTGAAAAAAGACGCCTGATGTCAGTTTCCTATGTGTTGACATGCTGACCACATCATGCTGCCTTTGTGCTTCCAACCATTTCACCAGAGACTCTTTAACTTGTCTTTTCTAATTAATAAACTATGTTTAGCCAAATTAAGCCTGGTGACCCGCCAGGCTTATAATACACTGTATTTATATGAATTATTTTCACTTTGAGTTTTAAAATAACTACATGTCCTTTTAATAGACTTTTCACCAAATATTTTTTCACTCTTAATTGGATGGCAACTTTCTTTCTACTCTTAATTGAATACATTTTTAGCTACTCTGCCCACCTCTGCTTATTTACTATCCATGAACTTTTAAATGCATTTCCACTTCTGGACACCTGTGTCAGATTAATTACTCATTATCAGGCCTTTTGTAGAGCAAAAAGGTCCTAATGAACAATTTTATTCAGGTGCCAAACAAGGGAGTCATCTAAAAATTGAGTATCAGCTCTCCAGGACTGATACTCATCATGTACAACCAGCCAATAAGAAAACATGCAAGCTGCAGAGTAAAAACATGCACTGATCTCAGGGGAGTGCAAGTCTAATTTAGAATGATGATTAAATTTAAATAGCAGGTAGAAGGAGAGCTCTCCGTTGGTCAAAAATAAAGAAAACATGCCGCAATGACAAAGCTAATATCTGAATGTTTGGTGAAAGAGTGAATAGTTGGACTGAAAGGTCAGTAGTTTCTCACAGCTTCTGTCAAAACAACACAAACTGGTCGAAAGTTGCTGTATTTCTGTCACAAATCTTGATATGAAGACACAAGAATCTTAGATAAAGTGTATAGTGATGCAATATATGCTGAAAATGGGAACATCAGCTGGTGGAAACGAAGCTTCAGTTGGGCAGAAACAATCTGAAGGCGATCGCTACGAAGCAGAACCTGGAGAAATTAGTTATTTCTGGCATTTGCTGTTTTGTTTCAAGATAATCGGAAAGCAAACAGTGTGGAGAGTCCAGAACCCAAATATTTAGAAGAAACAGAACATTTGCACTCAGGGGATATTTTTTTAAAGTCCTGATCTATTCATAGTGTATTTTTATTTCTCTTTCTTTAAAGTGGCAAGAGATCCATTTTTAAAATGGTCTTGATCAGTAGCTCTCCAAGATTTATGAAGTTTTCTTTCAACTTTGTCTGTTTTTCACTCGTTTTCTGTTGAGTCTTTGCACCTGACCATTGTCAGATTTTTCATTGTTTGTAAGGCCAATTAATTTTTACTCATAACCCCAATTTATGAACAGCGTTGAGTCAATAGATCACTTAAATCTTTGTTAAATTTGATCTTTAGACATCTTTCATTTCCTGAAGCCAGTCACCAAAACACTTTTAGTTTGCATTTCTTTTGCTGGAATAAGAAAAAACTGAAAATACTGCAGTTTTACAGACATTAACTTGTAAATTAACTTCAATAAAGAGATTTCCAAACAGCAATTCCCTAAAAATATAAATGCATAATTTGAGGAATTATACTGTTTCTCTGTTATTGCAATAGACTGAAAACCTTAGAGAACCGTAGAAATTATCTATCTAGTTATCACTGAAAACAGTTTAATGACTTATTTTCGTCCCACCTCGTCTGTATGCTGAACTGACAACTCCTGACATCGGACTTCTTCATGCGCAGGAATGCTTACGCACTGCTGGCCCTATTGATAAGCAAACACTGGGGGTTTTAAGAAAATGGCTGCTTATTGATCATAAGTTGAGCTCATTCATGATAACTTGCATCCCACTCTGTATTTATACATTTATACACGTCAAGCGCAACGATTTGAGTGAAAATTAGCCTACAGTAGCTAAAGTCCAAAAAATAAAAATAAAACTTTTGAAAGCTACTAATCAAGACCATATTAAAGACAATAACTTATGGAACATTCAGCAACTTCAAATTCAACAGTTTTGTCAGGACTGTGAGAAGACGGAAAGGGAGGGGAAATCTGATTTTTATGGCTGGTTTTTCAGAGTCTGAACCAGCAGCTTTGACTCCGTCCTACTGGTCAGCAACAGCACAATCGCCTGCTCCAAGAAGAACATCTGAATCATCAAGCAGCTGGATTTCTGCCAGGATTAATTTATTGCTTTTGAGGGTCCAAGTCTCCGTTTACAGCTTCATTCACCAATTCAGAGATTGTTTTAAACATTTTCCTCGGACGCCGGCTTCCATTTGTGTAGCAGTGATGTTTTTCTATCGAACATTGTTCTTTTAACTGTTGATATTTGGGTCATTTTACGTCGAAAGGACTTTGTTCAAAACCGTGTAAAGACTGAACACCAAAGAGATTTAAGTTATAAAATCTGGGAGCGTCTCCAGTGGGACTTTCTCTTTTAATTTATGTTTTTTTTTTTTTGTTGTTGTTTTGTTAAATTTTAAATGTATAGATTCAAAAAGGACTTGTACATTAAAAGAAAAAAATGTCTTTTAAAGATGTAATATGAGTTCTTGATCCGCCATCTTGAAACAACAGAGGAAGCTAAATCCTAAACGACATATTTTTTTCTGACAGTTTGACAGTTCACAGACTTTTTGTTTCAGGTTTTTTTGGTCACAAGCAAATTTTTCTAACAAATCATCAAACAAATAACACATTCCATAAGACATTTTCCCCACATTATAACATGTTAATAAGCACTCTTTTCAAATCAACATGAAGGAATTATTTTCCTGAACCAAGCTCCAGTATTTTGCTGAAAAGTTACTTGCCAGTTAGTTTTGTTTTATTTCAAGTGCACTGAGAGATTTGCACTAGAAGCCAGACCACCTGGTTGTTTCCTACTTTTGGATCTCGCTTCAAAATAACAATCCTTGACAGTTTTTCACACTTTTCTACATATTCATTTTGAAATTTAGTTGAACTCCAGCGGATAATTTTAATCTCTGGACCTTCTGTTTGCCATTTCAGGACCCAAAGACGGCACCCTTCCCCACCATTGGGAACCATTCCACTAAATTCATGGTTTTTGACTTTGGAAAGCAAGTTTAGAGGTTTGCGAAGTGTTAATCAGTGAGCTGCTCAATGAATTGGTCCATTCAGTCATGGGGGCCTCTGACAGGCGGCCATTTTTTTTTTATGTGTGGAAACGCCTTCATCAAACACGCACTATAAGCCACGAGTATTCATGTTGCTGCTGCAGCAGAGGAAGACCCTGAATGTTTGTCAGTAAACTTATGGTTTTTTGATTAAACCTGAACTTTTATTCGGTTTGTCGCTGCTGCCCCCTGCTGGTCAGATAGTGGTTTTGCTCTGAAGTCCAGACTTATTTTAAACACTGTGACTTGAACAGATTGTCAAATTAGAGATTGATTCAAATTTTATAGGGAATAGATAAAAATGTGTAAAATGCCTTAAAATAAATTCATGTTTTGTAGCTGAAAAATACTCACATGTAATCTGAGCACAATTTTTATCTGATTAAGAACAAAAATCCTCATTGAAAGATGTTTGTTTCTAACTGCTGCACTTATTTATACCTACTGTTTTATTATCCTTTTCTTAAAACCTAGAGTTATCAGTTTATTTTAGATTATTACGGTTTTATTCTGATGATTAACTGATTAAGTGGATAAACCCAGATTTTTTTAATTCAACCACTTGTCTTTTTATGATATTAGAAGTACAATAAAACATGCAAAAAACCAACAAATATAATGAGAACGTAAATTGCAGTAACACAGCATGCCTTTAGTAAATGTGAACTGGGTAAAGCTAAAACATATTTACAAATGTGTTTGAGTCTGAATATTCCAGTTAATGATTAATCGATTACTAAATTGTTTGGGAATTATTTCAATAATCAATTCATGATGATTAATCCATTTAATCGTTTCAGCCTCGGTGTAGTTTTGACACAACTTTATCAGAGCTGTAAATAAATGTGCTTAATTTAAATAAACTGGATTGAAGCAAAAAAAAGAAATTACTGAACAGATTAGAAGGCAACAATCAAAACCGCTCCTGCAGTTTAGATATCATTTAATTACGTTAGGAATGGGGGAGAAAAACATTTCAA